AGATTATTCACCTATATGCATAAAATTACTTCCCGAGCCACTACCAGGACTGACTTTAAATATAGCAGAACTTCTATGAAACATTTAAGTACGACTATGTAAATTAAAGGTATATAAATATACATTATGCTAGCTAGACCACTGTCATCTAACAAAGGACACTGGTATTCAGGCTCACTATTGATATAATGATATCCTGAGGAAGAATCTACTAGTTAGCTATAATGGAAATACGTGTAAGAGATGGCCAATTTTTTTGAAGAATTAAAAATAGCTTTTTGATCTTCTCCCTCTCCCCCTTCCCCTTTGCCTCCCCCAAAAAGAAAATATTACTTTTTGACTAAATAGTTGTCACAGGGCATTTTTTAAATTTGGTGATTTTTTTTTCTCAGTTTGTCAATGAAAAGCAGAAATACATATATGAAATTCTGTGCATGAAGTTGCTCATGCATATAAGTATATTAAGGACCAGGCCCTACATGTCCTAGGCATTGTTTAATTAAGATTTGCAATTTCCATAAAGTATAAATCATTTAATTTACAAATAACCAGCCATCATATTTATTTCAGCTTCATTGCCTTATCTGAGTAGAGAAAGAAGAGAAACCTAGGCTTGTGTTACAGAACATTCTGGAAAGAAACTTCACAACACATGAAGTTGGTTTGTCCCATAATTAATTGAAAATTAATTACAGCATTTTGAAAAGAGTATAAACCAACAATGTGAGCATGCCTTCCTAATTAAGCTGCTCACTCTGAATCCCTTCCAATAATACAGTCTAAAATATGGCATTATAAGTTAAAAAACAAACAAACTATGGCTCCTGAAAAAGTTTCAAACCAGTATTTGCTGAAGTGTGTATCTGAGGGAAGAGATGGAAAGGGAGAAGAGAGAAATTTCTTTAAAAGAGGAGGAAGGATTAAGTTAATGTGGTAAATTTAACTTTGTTACCATTATAAATTGCAAAACCTGATAAGAAATTCCAGAGATGGAAATTATGAAAATAGCTTCACTGAAGAAACATTAGTAGTGACTTGATGAATTATTGTCCAAACACTGTGGCTAAGTACAGACAGACAAAAAGCCCTAGGCTGAATCAATATAATGTTCGCAGGTAGTCTAAACTGTGCAGATTGAACTGATAAGCAAGTGAACAAACATTCACTTTTGATTCCAGAAATCCAGCTACATGCCTGCAGTGGCTCAACCGGGGGCTTGAGCATGCTTCCCTGCTTGGCTGCAAGAAACAGCTTGAGCCAAGACTAGCACACCTACCCTGTGAGCAAAAGTTTGCAGGGGAGGTGCAAAGCATCCTGGGATGCTGGGGAATTGAGGGTTAATTTGAATCTGGAGGGGATCTGAGACAGAAGTATAAGATGATTTAACCTAAATCAGTTAAGTCTGATACTACATCCATTCAGGTTTATCTTAAAATGGTTTTGGCCATTTTAAAAGTGATTTATGTACAATGAACTTTGGGCTAGGACAGAGGCTACACAAACTGGTATAAGTGATCAGAAACTGGTTCAAACCTGTAACACAGCAAGTCCCAATCTCCATGTGGCTGGCAGTTGTCCCACCAAGCCAGGATAGCATTCCCCACTCCCTGTGGCTCCCTGATGTCTAGGTTAATGTCTACACGTGCGCTGCAATGCATTATTTTAATAAACTTATTTCTAGGATCTGTATCTGCAGGTAGTAGAAAATGGTGCAAGAGACTAACTTACTACGTAGTAATTGCTGCACTCATGTAGATGGTGATGCTTTGCTGCACAATAGATTAATCTAATGCACAGTAAAGTATCTTTTGTAGACATACCCACTAAGTAGTACCTGCCCTAAGTTTTCTTTCTTTCATTCCTTTTTTCATTCAGAATTTCTTTCCAGAAAAAAAAGTTTTCCTTTACAGAGATGCCTTTACAATAGTAGTAAGATTATGATACATCACCAAATGTTGGTTCCATGCTTTATAAAATGTTCTATTGTGATAACTGAAGGCCAAATTTGATCAATAGATTAGGATGGGTATAAAGAAGAGAGAAATTCTTTACAAAACCTAGGGAAACGGTCTTTATTCTGCAAGGTAGAATCCAGACTTTGCTATTCAGTGTTTTATGATGTTTCTCTATAGAATATAAGGATTTAAATTTTGTTTTCTTGCTTCTAAATATAATATTCTGTAGGAAGACAAGAAAGTAGAATCATAAGAAAAATATATAGTCATTAATGATCTCCATGACCTGTACACACTGAAGCCCTGACCAAAGGACATGACATACTTGGTAGAGAATACATTTCTTATGAGCCAACTTGTCTTCTTCCATACTTGCTATTCTTCCTGCACATCAGAATGGTTTGTTCCTGCACTCGCACTAAGGTTTCTTTAAATTACAGCCAACTCTCCTAGACTCCTGTCCCTCTCAGATCCTGCCAAACAGTTCCTGGACTGAGTCAAAGTCTGCTTTTCTGAAGTCCAGGGTCCTTACTCTGCTGCTCTCCACCCTTCCTTTCCTCAGGATCCTGAACTCAATCATCTTATGGTCACTGCTGCCCAAGTTGCCATCCACTGCTACATTCCCCACCAATTCTTCTTTACCAGTGAACAGCAATTCAAGAACAAGGTCCCTAGTTGGTTGCTCCAGCACTTGCACCAGGAAGTTGTCCCCAACACTCATGTCCCTTCAAAAATCCATGGTGCATCCACAACTTGAATACTGTGCCTCATTTTGGTCCCTACACTTCAAAAAGGATATAAAAGAACTAGAGGAGGTACAAAGAAGAACAACAAGGATGATTAGTGATATGGAGAAACCTTCATACAAGGTTCATACCAAAGAGGCTGCACCAGGTTCAGGCAGAAAAAGAACATGATAAAAGTTTACAAAATACTAAATGGTGAAGAGAAAATAAATAGGGATTCATTATTTATTATCTCTCACAATACAAGAACCAGGAGTCATAAAATAAAACAAGTAGGTAGTAAGTTTAAAACTAACAAAAGGAAGTTCTTTTTCACACAGCATGTAATTAAAGCGAAGAACTCATTGTCACAAGATGTTGTAGAAGCTGGCAGTTTAGCCAGATTCAAAGCAATTGGATAAATTCTTAGAGAAAAAGTACGTCAATAATTATTGGGAAGAGGAGTTAGAGGTACAGCCTCTGAATTCAAATTTCCTAAACCTTAAATGCTGGAGGCTGCAAGTGGGAGCAGAACAGTGGGAAAAATGTGGTTATACCCTGTTCAATGTCCTTTTCAGCATCTACTCTTTGCTCTGGCCTGTTTGATATGCTGTAGAAAGGTCACAAGACTAGGCTCACCATGGAGAACTATAAGCCTCCGTGAAAAAGGGAGACTACTGAGGACACATCAACTGATTACATGGGACAACAAAAAAGAAAGCATGAATGGGAGTGAGGTCATAGGTTAATAACTAGGGCATCAGGGGGAGACACCAAACGGAGCGTACCAGCCAGCCCTTACTACCCCTCGAAGGAGTTGAGGGAGCCTATGGATGCCGACCAATGAACTCTATCCAGATACATGAGTGGAGAAGTGTCAGGAAAGCAGCCCCACACTTGCCTGGGCTCCTCCTGGCCAGAGCCTCCTTCCTAGTCTTGTAGATAGACAGCTTGGCTACAGCCTGGAGGAGGTCGACCAGGAAGTCCCGGGACGTGGTGGGGCCATGGACAGGAAATCCGTAAAAGAAAAGGTGAAGGAACAACTGCAGCCAGAACCTCAGCAAGAGGTTCTGGAGGAGGCGGAAGAGGGGCTGCAACCTGGTGCACTTAAGGTAGGCATATGCCAGTGTCTGCCTCTGTGGGCAAAAGGGGAAGGTGTTGGGGTGTCTATAAAGCAGGCCAAGTACATGCCTGTGAGACGGCTCCATGAAGGAGTCACCAGCATACTGGGCAAGATAGATTTATGGCCTATGCCAGTTGCCCTCCCTCAAAAGGGCAGCTTCCCAGTTGTCCTCACTCAAAAGACAAGCAGCTATTTAAGGAAGAAGCCAATTGGTAGACAGTAAAGGTTGTGAATACTTGAACAGGAACGGCAATTATAAAGTACCTTAAATACACATATAAGAAGTTTGTATTTTACTGACTGGGATATAGGCTGTGGAGGAAGAGTATGACAATAAGACTAGAGTGTAGAGAGAATAGAAGGTTCAGTAAGCAAAATGGCAGCAAATGGTTACTGATAGAAGGGTTAATGACATCTAAGGGAAAATAAGTTTGGCTTTGTGCATGTCAAATACTACAAGCAATTCTTCCTCTGCTCACAGACAAAGTTCCCCATGGAAGTAACGAATGCAGTTGTTGGAAGGATGATGTGTAATAATGAAGTAAGATATGGAGGGCCACATGGTCCAAAAGATGTCTACTAAATCTACACTAGATAAGTCTGTGCCATACAAAATTCTGGAAACCCCACTGTAACAATGAAAAGAATTAAAACAAACAGTGATACAGTACGGTTTTCAAAATACTTTTGATCATCATAAAAAAAAAGATTCCATCTCATTCTGTTATTTGAATATGAATTATGCAGCATTATCATAAATATAACTGCATATTTAAACTACTACATTGTTAAATCTTTATGGACTTAGAGGTTATTATGAAAGCTGAGAGCTAACACTGCATAAACCTGCCTTTCATTATGGTGTAAAATGTTTTTAAATGTTCTCAGAAACACTCTCCAGCACCATCACCAAAAAAGCATACAGTTCTTAAAGCTTCAACACTCTTAGCTATATGAAATTTCAGTAAAATTACTGTCATCATCAAACACCCACTTTTCTTATACTAAGCCATAAAATACATATCTCCCAAAATCTCATTTAGAATGACAATAAGGTTTATTAGCTATTGTGCATTTTTCTAGTGTTATTCCACCTTAAACTTCTGAGATTATGCAGCTGTTATGAATGTAAGATGTATGTCAAAAATATTTTTGCCTAATAACATTTAAATGCAGAGCTATTAATGTTACACTTACCTCCTAAATTCATCCCAGCCTGTAGACATTTCTGTAATCGGCAAGCTGGGCAGTTCTTCCTTCGAATCTTATCAATTATACAGTCATTCCGTCCTGCACACAGGTAATTGTGCTGCCCTGAATGAACCAAAACAAAGAAGAATGTTATTCAGATCCTGTATGTTTACATGTTTTTCATTCTTTCTATTTTCCACTCTTTCTGATCTACTTCTATTTCGCTAATATTCTATTCTTTACTGTTAATCCAGAGAATCTCTCTTTCTGTTCTTTAGCTTCCCAATTTTTATCCACCCTTGGCCTATCATAGCACCTAGCTTTGTGCTTCCAAAACAAATACAAATGAACCTATTAGACATCTTGTTACAGGAATCAACATTTGTTCCTTCACTTTTACTAGACAGAAAGTACTGGTACAGCTTAGAAATAAATGTTTTCCATCCTTGTGAACAGGATTATGCTGTTTATTTACGTATGGTTTTCAGACATACTGAAACTGAGCTTTTTTGAACACTTTATACTTGTAGAATCATTAGAAGTTACATAAAGCACCGTTAAGTACAAAGCTGCGTATAAAAAAAAATCAGACAATTCCCTGTGCTAATATGTCTAGGGTCTCAGAAACAGACAGTGGAAGTCAGGTACAATAATTCATCACAACAGAGTCCAGTTTGCCAAGCAGTTTGGAGCATGCTTGTTTTAATCAGTAACCAGAAATGTGATTGATAATGTCTTAATTCTCTGCAGAAGAAGTGTCTGATTCACTACAGTTCTGAATCAAACTTAAAGGGAAGTGAGCTGTTTGGTGTGCAATGAGTAAAACACTGGAACAGGTTACCCAGAGGTGTTGTGGAATCTCCATCCTTGGAGGTTTTTAAAATCTGGCTAGATAAAACCTTGGCTGGGATGATCTAGTTGGGGATGATCCTGCATTGAGCAGGGCGTTGGATGAGATGACCTCTGGAGGTCCATTCCAACCCTAATTTCTATGATTCTAAACCACGGAAGGGAAAGGGACAGCATGCAAAAATATATGAGGTCAAGAATGGGGAAACTATATTAAGGATATTTAGTTTTGCATAATTGAAGGAATGTAGAAAGTGGGGAAAATGTAAGCAGAATTGTAGGCATAAGTCATGTAGGGTTTTTAAAACAGGAATAAGACACCTGAATTTGAAAGGGAAAGAAAGTGGAAGGCAGGGAAGAAATAGCATAGTATGGTCAGAGTGATCAAGGAGGAAGATTACATTAGCTTCAGTGTTCAATTCAGACTAACCTGAAAGGGGCATGATGGGACACTGGGAGACCAGAAAAAAATATTTTTGTGTACCAAATCAACTGACATAAAACAGGTTATGTTTTATGAAGACTAATTAAATAATGACTCAGAAAGAAATATCATGTCTAATGCTTATTAACATATTTTCTGTATACAAATTTAAGTACATATTGTAAAGCAATAGAATGAAATATTGGAGGATTAAAATATGAAAAAAGGGACAAGAGAGAGTGATAAATGTAACACTCCATGCTATAAAGGTGCCATTAAAAATATTGATACCTGAATGTTGATACTATTGTAAAAAATGTTATTTTTGGCTAGAAATGTGGGCATAATTGTTCAAAACTCATACAAGGTCCTTGGTACATCATACAGCACTGCAATACCATTTTTAGACTTTTACAGGTGGGTGCAGGCTATTATTATGACAAGTCAGCTCAAATGCTGCAAAATGAACCCCACTGCAGAATTCCCTTGAAGGTAGTTTGTTCTATGAAATCGTACACCTGTTAAGTCAACATTTTTCATTACTGCTTTCAAAAACTAATGAGCTTAGTAAAAGTAGGTTAACATTTATGTACTTCAGGATAATTACACTGGACACTTTTTTTATATATTGCGAAAATGTTTGATTCAGTCCCTGTCATACCGTGCTTTTATAAGAAATATTCCTACTATGAACTTAAACCCTTCTACAACTCAGACTTAGGATACTTTGAGTAGACTACAATAACTGAATGTTGTTGTTGAATGTTTACTGAGAGTCCAACTCAGTAAAGATTTATCAGTTCTGAAATAGCATATCCTTGAATATTTAAACTAATAGATGATGCAAAAGGTGCAAGCAGTTTTTCTCATAAATAACATATTCATTTTTCTGCTGACAATTTCTTTAGCATACAAGATTCCGCATTTCTATAAGGCAATTTTTTTGGAAAATCTAAAAATATTTTAACATGTTAATAATCTTTTTAGTTTTTTACTGCATTAATGGGAACTACACAAAACCAAAAAAACAGCACTTCTTATATGAAATTCCTATGCATAAATCAACTACATAATAGAACAATTATCATCCAGAAAATAGCCTTCTGGACCCTTGAATTGCAAATATATATTCAGTAAAAAGTATGTTTTCTTTTCTATAATTATGGGAACCGGGTTTGGATTTATTTGTAACTACATCTCCATCCCTTTACCCAACTTCTGTTTCGGCCTGGCTTTTAAGGCATCAGACACTGAAGGATACAGGCAGATACAGAATGAGGTTTTCCAATGCATATAAATTCCTAATGAAATCAGAGAGGGAAAATGGCATTCACCAGGCACAAGCCTGCATCCTCAGGTGCTAAAATGCCCTTTAAAATGAGCTGTTTCTTCCTTCTTTTTTCTTTCTCTGCTTCTCACAATGATCTTTTCATTCCCCATCTTGATTCTCCCCTTCCCCACAGTCTTTCCCTCTTCTAACATAATAAAAAGATACCACTAACTCTTTCTCTGAAGTTTGGGGAAGCCTTAGGTGAGTCATAACATTCAAGAAGAACTTTTTTACAGTATTCTGTTGCAAGTTTTCTTTTCTTTTTTCTTTTTGCCACTGATGGAAAGATGGAAGAAGGGAGATGGAAAAGGAAACAGGAAGAAGACTATACAGAGCTTGCCACTATTTCAGCCATTATCAGCAGGCTTGGTTTCGTAAGGATCCTAGCAGAGAAAAGACTAAAGGAGGGACTTGAAAAAAGACAAGATAGTGGTTACTTAAACTGTATTGGCAGGTTTTTCTCATATACAAGGTTCAAGCTGGAAAAAGACAAGCAGTTGTTTAAGGAATAAGCCAATTGGTAGACAGTAAAAGCTGTGAATACTTGAACAGGAAGGTCACAAAAGGTTACAAGATCAGCTAAGTTGGGTTGGAATAAATTATAAAGCACCCTAAATATGAAGATAAGAAGGGGAAAGAAGGAGCCAGTGAAAGGACTCAAAGGAACTAATATGATCAGAGTGATAAAACAAATAATGATTTTAAGAACAGATAGTGATTTTAAGAAGGGCAGCCCCTTCTTGCGAGAGATATTCAAAAGCTTTGTTTTAGCTACATTTAAAAAAAAAATACACCAAGGTACACCACCAAGCACTTTATGTTAAGCTACTACTTCCGCAATTCCTAAACCAAGCAATGATCCTATGAATTGTTCCAATTAAAATTATAACCAAAACTTCACCACAGAGACTGAAACACATCCTCCTTAAATTAATCTGCATATATCAAGGACGATTTTTTTTAAAAAGCATGGTTCAGATAATGTACATTAGATTATTGATATAGTAGCAGCAAGATACAATTCCAAAGTGGATACATTTATTATATAAAATCCCACTTTAAGAGTTGTGATCAATAATATGTTATCTGAACCATTTCCCTTGCAAAGGGGCACTGAGCCAAGTTGTATGTATATTATTCCTTCCCCTCCCCTGCCCCTTCTATTTGTTGTAGGGGCCTGCAACCTAAGATTTTGGTGATGAATGCATACCTTCTCTCCTCAAACCCCTTGCTGAGTTAGTAGAAAAAAATCTTATCACTCTAATGCAATGATTCTCAACCAGAGTGTAACAGCAAGATAAAACCAGAGGTTTCAAACAGAAATACATAGTACAGTGGCTCTCAACCTCTTCAGACCCAAGGCACCCCACCCTGGATTCAAGGCACCCCTCAGAAAGTGCCAGCTCTTAGTTTGACATGTTTTCTGATTATAAAAAAAAGAATAAAGCAATTCTTCTATTGCAAAAAACTCAGAAGGACCACTACAGGTCAGAAAGTCTTTAACACTATGGATTCCTGTATGAAATCTTGGTTTTGTTTTGTGTATCGTATTTTCATGCCTAACACATTATGCAGCACCCCATCACACCCTTGAAAGAATTTCAGGGCACCCCAAGGCATCCTGGATGAGAATCACTACCATGGTGTCAAAAACATTCTGACCTGTTTTGATCTTTCTGAATTCTCTGTAATAGACAAACTGTTCTATTATTTTTTCATAGTCAAGAAACAAGTGAAAGCTAAGAACTTGGTATTTTTGGAGGGGTTGTCTGGAGTCTAAAAAGGCTGAGAACTACTGCTCTAATATTATGAACAGAGATGGCAATTTTCTCCACCATTTTACCAGGCATATGAAATTAAAGTCTATTTGTGGAAGTAGGAGACAAGATGGAGGACTGGACCACACAGATGTGGTTTTCACCTGTGTAAAGTGGGTTCAGTTAACCTTTTTAAGAAGGTTATTTTTTTAACGCTTATTGCTCCTCTTTATAGTTTTGGTTTATTACTGTTTGTAACTGTTCTTTTCTATTCTTTCTTGCTGTGGAGAGGCAAGGAGACTTTCCCTTGTAACTCCTGCTTTTTCACATTCCTATATTCTGTCATAGCCTTCTTGGTTTCTTCATCTTTGTCACTGGACTAGTCAAGATTCCCATTTTTTTCAGAAGTTAGAATAATGTTTTATAGAATAATGTTACAGAATTATACAAAGTAGGACTGGAAAGGAACTTTAGAGGTCATCTATTCCAAACCCCTGCCAGAAGCAGGCTCATTTCTATCTAAACTATCCTATACAAATCCATTGTCTAACCTATTTATAAAACTATAGTCAGCCCTGACACAACCACAAGATAGGTTTAAAAAGCCCTAGAAAAAAAGTACATATTGCAAGAGACAGCGTATGACTAGGGACAGACATTCAAAAACTCTGAGCCTGAATCGACTCAATCTTTGCAGGTTAGTCTAACTTGGTTAGGCTGAATCACTTTGTAACTGTCCAGACATCCCAGAAATGCAGGCACA